CCTAAATAAAGTACAATGTTCAAATTCCCATTGCTCACAGTCACACTCTCACCAGACTATGAGACTAGTAGTCTGTGTAATGAGTAATCTGACTACACATTCGATACCTTTCAGTCAGCACAATATCACGTGACCTTTCAGTCAGCACAATATCACGTGACCTTTCAGTCAGCAGACCCAGAGTACAAGCGCTCGGTAGCATAGTGTCTCAGACTGAACGTACCAGCTACACTCAACCAATTGTAGTAAACAAAAACGCAGCAATCCCCAATGCCCTTTGGAAGACCCTACCTGATAAAATGACTTCAGCTGAATACATGGGTTTAACCGAAGCTGAAGCGGTTGCTAAATACGCAAGAACGACCCGAGAAGGGCTCCTGTGCAAGTATTGCGGCAGGCAATTTAGCTGCGGGGGAAACAGGAACAGGCACTCTAAAGTGTGTGAGCTGCAACCCAATGCGGAGGGGGTGGATCTTAGACCATTCAAGTGTCAGTTCTGTGGAAAGGGGTTTAAAGATGAGAGCAATGCACGTGCACACACTCGCCGGGGCGTCTGTTTCCGTGGGGCAAAATAAGTGAACTTTTAACCAACAACTCTCAAAGATATTTAATGACTTTATTTAAACTGTTGAGTAACTGAAAGGTGTTTTGCTGATAGTATTTTGTTTAAATTTAATATGCCCTTATTAATAGACTGTTTTACTTGATTAAATTAAAGATCTGAATACGGTTATTTCCAAATGTGAAATGAGATTTCCCTCTCGAGCCCTAATCAACCTTTTAGTTTTGGCAAATTTCTGGAACAAATTACAATTATAAAATTTAAGAAAATAACTTCCAAAAATAAAGTCACAAAACCTCTCATTACAATTACAAAAAATAAGAAATTTAAGTTTAACCTCGTTCCAGTTTGCCAGTACTGCGGGAAGATATTCAACGGCGCTAACGGTACCTCCCAAGTGTGGCGTCACATAAACGCAGTCCACCTGAAACTGAAACCCTACAAGTGTCTCTATTGTGACCGTTCCTTCAGTGTGGCTAGTTCACGGAGGGGGCACATGATGAGGAGTCATCCTACCCAGTTCAATGAGGAGGATCTGAAGAGAGTGAAGAAACACAAGTTTATTAAGTTTAATTTTTGATATTATTGGATAGTTTTTAATCTTTATAAACTTGTTTGGACAGAAAATAATAGGAATATATTTTAAAGATAAGCGTGGTTTGATTAATTAGTTTACCGAAAATATTATTGAGTTGTTTTTTTTTTCCCTATTTGTTTACTTTTGCGTCAAACGCAGTAAATTATTTTAAATTTTAACCTTATTTTAAAGAGAAAATTGTATTTTATTTCTTTTCGCACAATTAATTTAATTCTGGCATCACAATTCGAAGCTCACCTCATATTTCAACAGCTCACCAATCAATTCGCCACGGTCACGAGGCTTATGCAATAATAAATGCAATAATCTAATAATAACAGTTAGCTCCGTCACTGATCAGCTTGTCACAGCAGTACATCAATCTGAGCAATCTGAATAGTGAATAAGCATTGTACAGTACCTGCAAGTTATCACGGGCACTATAGTTCTTATAGCGAGTATGTAACACGGCTACCCACGTGCAATGCTACCCACGTGCAATGCTACCCATGTGCAATGCTACCCACGTGCAATGCTACCCATGTGCAATCCTACCCACGTGCAATGCTACCCACAGTACTGCTCCGATCACAGCTCGGCGGCTATACAGATCTCATTTAAAGACAAATCCAGTGGATAATCGATTAAATCGGATATGGCTATAGAATTTGGGCTCTTGTACTTTGTAGGCGGTTGATATCCACTAGGGTGTTAAAATACTTCTTTTGTTGAGTTGAGTTACCAGTGGGACTGAGGTAGACAAATCTGCAGCAAATTAAGTTCTATTATAAGTCCGCACCGCGAATAATAAATATCCAATATATACCAGGTCCTCGCCCAAGCAATGGCCATCAAAATGAGGCTTCAAATTAATATTAGTCCGCCTTTAAGTCGCATCAACTTGTTTGTGAATTTATCTTTAAGCGACACAATATTTCCTTGCTCACCAGCTCTCCTCCCGTAGGTGTCTGTGAGCACTGCGGCAAATCATTCTCTGGACCCAGTACCCGGACACGGCTGTGGAGACATATAAACTCCGTCCACCTCAAGCTCAAACCTTATGACTGTCCGTACTGTGAGAAGAACTTCACTCAGTCTGGTAGCAGGAGACAGCACATCCTGAAGAGACATCCTCAGTTCGATCCTTCTCCACGGCTGACTAAACTTAATGTTATCAATCGTTATCAAGACATTAGTCATCAGAACAAGCCGCAGTGAGTTCTGACCAAACTGCTGAGATTGATGAGGAAGATGAGAAGTGTTTGGAGTTAGAAAACTTGAAGACTTTTTCCTGATGGACTTTTTTTGTTTTTATATTTCTTGGAAGAAATTTTATGTTTTATATTGTTCTCGGCTCTGAGTGTTTAGTTTATGTTTTGCAAAGCAGCTGTTAATGTTGTTTAAATATGTGTACAAGTTATTTAACCCTATTGTTTACTGGCTTACAGATAATCTTGATGCGCACAGACTTCACCCTGATAATAACAAATAAATAACGGCCACAACTTTGTGGTGATCCTTAACTTGAATCTCAAAGCAGGCACAGTAAGCTGTGGGTTATGTGGCAAGAGTTTCCGTGGCAGCAACGCTAACACTCAAGTTTGGCGACATATCAACGGAGTCCATCGCAAGCTCAAGCCCTACAACTGCCTCTATTGCGAGAAGAAATTCTCCACATCTGGAAACAGGAAGGCTCACATGGCTAGGAAACATCAGACGGAATTCAATCCTGAACATTTGGTCGGACTCAAGAAACAACAAGTCATAAACTTTAATTCTAACGATCCTCGCTGATACGTTCATGTGTATTATTATTCATTCTCCGGTGTATAAACAATCTCTCCAACCCCGAGTATATATACATTTTACACGTAAAATATATAGCTGTCATGTCTTTGATTAAGCTGGCGATCAATTATATTACTTATTAAATTAATAATAAGTTATTGGCTAACCGATAAGAGTAAAGTGGTAACGATAGTTTTTAAAAGCGTAGTAGTTTATTGTCATTTCAATCATGCTCATTACTAAATTTTCCATCCAAATTCCGCCGAATAGCAATTTTCCGCCAAACTTTAAGAGCTATAAAAATACCATTTTTGGAGGTCTAGAAAAATAAAAATCCTGAACATCACTGATTCTGTGCTATTATTGGTTACTTCATTAACATGTGAATTGTGAACGTAGTGTTGATTTTCATGAAACTTCTTTTAGTAGCCAGTATCGGCTGTGGATACTGCAACAAACGTTTCCGGGGTTCCCAAGCAAAAACTAACGTTTGGCGGCACGTGAACGCGGTGCATCTCAAACTAAAACCCTACAAATGCCTCTATTGCGAGAAGAGATTCTCTCAGTCTGGAAATAGGAAGGAACATATGGCTAAGATGCATGCGGAGGAGTTTGATCCCAGACATTTGGATGGGCTGAAGAGACAAACAATAATAAGGGATCCTTCACAGATTACGTAATCAATGACGGGGAGAAAGGGGGTTTCTAAATGATTACGCTGGTGTGATTTCAACACAATATCTTGTTGTTTTGGGTTAGAAATTGGCTGAAAGTGATAACGTAGTATGTGAACGAACTCTTAACAGCAATTATGTAATGCCCAGCAGTTTTAGCGCTCTTGTTTGTTACATTTTAATTGATAAACAATTTTAAATTCGCCGGCCAAATGCTCACTTCAATTTTATAGTTTACGCTTTGTAATTTTTCTTTAAGATAATGTTTTAAACTTTCCTTTAAGTTGATGTTCAAACCGTTTGTTTAAAAAATCAGTGTTTTTGCCACGATTTTTAAGACAACTTTTTTCCCTCTAAGTAAATTGTGACGGCGGTTTTCTCTAATCTGGTTTAAGAACATGTAATTGTATCATGTATGCCATCAAGGAAAATTAATACGGATTACCATGATAATATGTTAAGATCTAAAGAATAAAACATTGATCGCACAACTTAACTAAACTTCAACTCACCCAAATCTTATCACACATTCACTGATTTACTCCTTAGCCGACCACCTGCACTCCTCCGCTCCCGCTGCTCCTCCTCCTGACACTCTACAACGTCTCCCTCCACCCATCCTACCACAGCTCCAGGGTGGTTTCATCAGGTGTCCTATTGAGGACTGCTGCCAGATCTTCCGGCGCCCCTGGGCTCTGAATCGCCACATGGACATTATACACCGGAGACGCCCTACTTCTCTGCAAACTCAGAACCCGGGACCGGGTAAAGGGACCCGGTATTGCCCGCTCAGGTGTCACTTTTGTTCTATGACCTTCATGACCCGAGCTGAGCTGCAGAGGCATGTTGTGTCTCGCCACGTTAGTGATCGGCGAGGTTAGGGTCAAGGATGCAAAACATGGGACTCGAGACACTGTGTCACATCCTACCTCCTACACTTACCTGAACTTACCAACGTTGGTCATTATTCTGAAATAGACTCTGAACTCTTGGACTGATGCACATCATGATGTAGATGAAGCCTTGAACAATGCGCTGAAAGTATGCGCTTTTTGCTGGGCACTGAATAACGTCATTTCAATTAAATTCGTGCTATCCTGACGCTGCTGCTCAGACTCAAAGCATTTTTATAATGCATGATTATGTTTATACCATATTTGTACTTAACTATTATTCGTGGGATTTTTTGTGTCTGGAGATTACTAAATTATGAAGTAGTTTTTAAAAAGTGAGATAATGTCTTGAAATGGTGAGTTAATGAGTGATAAACAAGTAGATGGAACGTTAATACCCCTATATTTCACAATCACACCTTCTCAAACTACTCATTTAGTATCTCAAAGTTGATCTAAAGTTGATCTAAAATTGACCACAAGTTGACCTACTCTCAAACCTCCAGTCTCATACGTGCCGGGAAGGAAGTCCTGCAAACAGAACGTGCTATACAAGGGTCACCGGTACACGCTAGACAAGCGCAGAAACGACAGAGCCTACTGGAAATGTGTCCACAAGCCCTGCTCTGCTAGGATTACTGTTCACGGGAACAATGTGTTGAACGCTTCACCCCACATACCACACCCATCTACTGCCCATCCCAAGTTTGTTAAATAAAATATATAAAGCATAGCATTGCATCGTTTTGTTTACCCCAATTCGTTTAAGTTGAGTGGTGTGATTTACGACTTTAGAGCGAGTTTTGCCTTATTCTCTTATTTTATAGTTGATCTCACTATTTTGAGCACATCTGTTTAGCTAACTGCTCTCCCTTTAATCTTTATTTATAGTTTTTCTCATGTTCACAATATATCTGAGTTGATCGTGTTGTAGGACTGCAGACGGTTTGTTTTAGTGTTTAAGTAAATCATTGCTTATTTGGGCGATTAAAAATATTAATCACTTATTTTATTTCAAATTTCTATTATATATTTAAATAAATTAAAATGTGATCGTATTACTTGGTTTAGCAATAGTATGAATAATATTGAAAACTGGTGTAAAGTACAAACAACTATGTGACAGCCTACAGTTTTTTAAAGGAAATTCATATTCTACGGCGAGACTATTGGTGAATATTCAAATGATAACGAAATATAACACCCCTAAATTTAACTTCACAACAAACGCACAACGAATCCCTATTAAATTCATAACCCATCTTGTTTCAGTTGGAGAATTGGTTTCACGCCAGCAACACTTACAAGCTTTCTACCTTCTTCCGCTGCAGACCCTTGAAAACCAAACCCTTGAAAACCAGACCCTTGAAAAGCAGACCCTTGATAAACCCATCCCGCCTGCTAAACCTCCTCAAGGGCTCACCCTACACAGCTACCTACACGAGTTCCAGGTTGCGTTGGAGAGTGGAGAGGAGGTTCCCACAGTTCCCCTCGAGTGTTCCTCTTTTCAGCAGGTCTTCCCACAGCCCGCTGACATCTCTAGGAATCAGCTGGACTTTGTCCTGAAACAAGTAGTGCTCCAAACCAAGGATAATATGGACACCCTGGCAAGGTTCGTGTCGTCCATCCCCCAGGAGTTGTCTGGGGTAACTGAGTACCTGCTGGCTGCTAAAGTCATGGTGAGTTTCAACAGCAAGAACTATCTGGACGTGTTCGACATCCTGGAGTCCAACAACTTCACTGAAATCCCGTGGGAGCCCCTTCAGAGGCTATGGTTTGAAGCTAGATACGACTACGAGACCGTGGTAAAGGGAAGGAAACTGGGAGCAGTGGACAAGTACCGTGTCAGGAAGAAGTACCCCCTCCCTGTCAGCATATCAGATGGGAGTGGGTCCTGTCTGTTCGGGGTCAACAGAGATCTGTTTACTCCGCAGGTCCGGAGGATACTGTGGGATCATTACCACAGGGAAAAGTTTCCGGATACTACTCTCAAGATCATCATTGCTAAACAGTCCGGGTTAACGTTTGCGCAGGTCAACAATTGGTTCAAGAACAGGAGGCAGAGGGACAGGATGGCCATGAATAAAAAGAGGATGGTTAATTATAATAAGATTGGATTATAGTTGGACGGGTGATCTTAGGAAGGACACAGGAGGAATAATGTTGAGAACCATTTACGAATTCCTTGGTTGTAACGGAGAACTATTTACGAATTCCTTGGTTGTAACGGATTCCTTGGTTGTAACGGAGAACCATTTACGAATTCCTTGGTTGTACGGAGAACCATTTACGAATTCCTTGGTTGTACGGAGAACCATTTACGAATTCCTCGGTTGTACGGAGAACAATTTATGAATTCCTTGGTTGTAACGGATTCCTTGGTTGCAACGAAGAATCATTTACGAATTCCTTGGTTGTAACGGACTTGCATGTATCTGATTTCATTTATTAGTACCCCGCATGAACATTATATCTTGATTCTGACTCCGAGTCTATTGTTTAGCTATTCTCCCTGATTGTGCTGTGATTAAGATATAGCATGCTGGATAAATATTTTAGAAATTTGCAGTGTTAGCTTTTTCCTAAAAAGAACAAACTGTTCTGCGTCTCAGTATTTCAACAATCCAAATTATTGCCGATTGAGTATATTAATTTAATGGGTTAAATTCAATGATTTTAAATTTAATAATGAATTGCATTTGAATGATAGTTTTTAATTAAAAGTTTTTGTTTGTTTTAAAACAGCACAAAAATCATCGGGCTTGTTTTATTAGCATTATTTTTTATGTTTTTATGGAGATGCTAAGTGTTTATTTTATAAACTTTTATCACAATAGAATCGTATTCTACTATATCCTTACTTGTTCGTGGCCTTCTGAAGTCTTATTTTTATATGAAGATCTTTAAAGTTTTATTAGGTGCTGGAAATGTTTTACAGATTTTAGACCGATAATTCAAATGATTCTGTAAAATATGAAAATCACAATGTTTTGAAGCAAATATGTTATAGCTTAACATGGGTAGGCACTAGTTTATTTAAGTTTATAAAGTATAGACTAACTATTGATCAATAATAACAATTATCTCTTAAATTATAATGGATTAATATGATATTTAGTAGTTTGGACATTTAATTTATAAAATCAAACTTGTCCCTTTTCAATTGTCCTCCCTAAACTTCTGCCACCTAATGGCCACATGAAGCTTCCAGAAATAATGATAACGGTATATCAGATTACGGGAACAAAGCCAGTACAAAATCAATATTATTAGTAGAATAGCGAGCCATTAATTTCACTAGCAGGAACCCGTATAATATAACCCTAAACGGTGTCAAGACTCAAAATACTAAAATAATTATTACCTATTTAATCGGCGTTTTTGACACCACTTGGGGGCCCAAATTTTCGGCTCTAAAATCATTATTCCTTGGCCAATTTTTTATTTTTTCATGCCGATTTGAAGGCCATTAAAGCATTTGACCCAGCCAAAAAAGTTCCAGTTGTATATCTTTTACGGTTTTTGCGGAAAGTCGCGTTAAAGTTGATGCCGTGGTGTCAGTAAAATGGCACAGATATATATATATATATCGTCTCGCTTTATATATAGTAAGATGCAGTTAATACACCAATACCATCCAATTACAACGTTCCCTGTCACCAGTATTTTGTATAACCCACTATAACTGTAACCACAGTAACCAGCCCAGTGTAGCCTGTAACTCCGACCATGTAACTATAGTAACTTTAGTAACTTTAGTAACTACAGTAACTACAGTAACTTTAGTAACTTTAGTAACCATAGTAACTTTAGTAACTATAGTAACCATAGTAACTTTAGTTACTATAGTTACCATGGTAACCATGGTAACCATAGTAACCATAGTAACCTTAGTAACCAGCTCCGTGTCCACAGTGACTCACTCTCCGTGTGATATTTGTGGTCGGCTGATTGTACGAACACAGCTGAAAAGGCACAAGGACACAGTCCATCTCAGACTGAGACCCTACATTTGCTTCTTTTGTGAGAAAAAGTTCGGAACAAGTGGCCAGAGAAGAAAACATATGAAGAGCTTCCATTTGGTAAATCAGTAGTTAATTAAACTATCAATCAATGAATTAATTTATCGATTGATTTGATGAAATCTTCATTGATTAACTTGTATTTTGTTGTAAGACCTATGATTGGATTATGAAATCCTACATAAAACCCATCGAATTTGCTCAGGAGGAACTAGAACAGCACGATAGCAACAAAGTCCTGAAGAAAGATTTGGTGCAAATATTACGTGGTGACCTCCGCAAACAATAGAGGGAATTATACTCGTAGTCAGTAGTGAGGTATATCGAGTAATCCCAACCTAATGAGCACTAATCAGACACAGTGAATATTACTAATCAGACACAGTGAATATTTGAGTAATCAGACACAGTGAATTTTTTATTCGTGGGACGAAAATATCGTAGTAGATCCAAATTCCTCCATGATAAAACTCAACTTTGTTAATAATAGCTAACTCTTCAGGTACTACCTCAGTGTGTGATATATGTTTTAAGGCCGTCTCCAAATACCAACTAAGACGCCACAGGAACACCGTCCACTTCAAACGACGACCCTTCAAATGTCGCTTCTGTGAGAAGAGCTTCGGAGAAAGTGGCAACAGGAATACCCATGAGCGGACTGTCCACGCAGATCAGTGTCATCTTGAACCAAACGATTATTTGTAAACGTCCCACTGCTTTTTGTACGACTGAATAACATTTTTATGAATGTTTTTGAGATAAATTCTGTTTAATTAATTAAAGAGAGACTGTAGAATTAAACTGCCGTTTGTAGGATCGAACTGTCGTCCCGCATGCCCTAGAAATAGAATATCAGATGAAGAAATGGAATTTTCATAATTTTGGCCTAAATTTGGTTGAGTGCATTTCCATATATCATATCACTCATCTACATTGAAACTTCCTCAGTTCTGGTCTAATACTACTTGATATAACATGGAACCATGTGCTGTTTCAGCTGTTTCAGCGGCCAACATGGAACAATGTGACATCTGCCACAAGATGCTACACAGACGAGGGATTGCCCGGCACAAGAGAACGGTTCATTACATGGAGAAGAAGTTCAGATGTGGGTTCTGCAACAAGACCTTCGGGGAAGCAGGCAATAAAATCAAACATGAGAGAAGTGCTCACAATTACAAAAGAGTATCCTGGAGGAATGAGTAGAAGTAAGAGAGCTGCGGATGTTTGTGGATGTTGAACTGTTTGTGGCTGGATTTTGGTCGGCGTATCATGCTAATCATTATATTTATAATATATTTTAAACCGTAATATTTTATTATTCGCGAAGTGATTTTATGTGAACGGGATATTTTTTATTGAGCATCTCCTGTTTTGCAACAGATTACATCTACAATATACCGAATAGTCTTATCACGGATAAAAGATAATGGACGGATAATATATTGTAAATATGATATGCTGCACTTGAGACTAATTTAAATTATTTTTATATCACATCGTTTTTAGTTTTTTGAATAGAGACAGCACATTAATATAAAACATACCAACTACCAATCAATCATCCAAATATACAAAGCATCATAGAAAATATACAACATCACAAAACATAGTAACCATATGCATAGTAGCCATCATGTGCGCTTGTTCAGCCTGGCTTGGTTTCAGATTTTGATTGGTGTGATATCTGTAACAAGGCCATGAGAAGAGGGGGACTACCACGTCACAAAAGAACAGTTCATTTCAAAGACAAACGCTTCAAGTGCAGATATTGTGGCAAATATTTTGGTGAGGGAGGAAACAGGCGACAGCACGAGAAGTCTGTGCATGCTGAGAAACTGTTTGATGATTGAGAGACATTTTCATTTGTTGATGAACTTCAGTAATCATGATTAATTCGAGATGCTGTGAGAACAGAACATATAATTTTTTATTGCACTATTTTTACTGCTGTTAGGATAATTTGGACCTATATTATAGTGAGGAATCAGAATCATTTTGGGATGTAGAATTATTATTTTAGACCAGACCATCAATTATTCCTTGTTCGGCAACCTAGCCTGCTAGTTCTAATTCTATTACAAACCTAAAATTTGTCAATCACGCCACGATTTCCACTGAACAGCACGCTACATATCTTTATATACGAAACACAACAATTAGTTGATGTTGCCATTCTCAGAGATGAAAAAGTGTGACATCTGCCACAAGATGATCTCCCGATCTGCGCTTGTTCGGCACAAGAACACCGTGCACTTTAAAAGGAGACCTCACAAGTGTCGGTTCTGCGAAAAGACTTTCGGGGAGACGGGGAACAGAAACGCTCACGAACGAAAAGTGCACACTTCGGAAACGGAACTGACTTGACTCTTTGTCGAGATATTGGCTTAATGTTACTTTTACAGTTTACTTTTACACTTTTAAACTATTATTTGAAAAGGCTATAGACTGATTTGTCCTTCCGTTTTTTTTAGAAAGGATACTGTCAGTGTCGCATCTTTAATAGGAATCGACTAAAATTTTTATATGTTTCAGTTTAAGAGATAAGATATAATATTTGAGGCCGAAATTATCAAAATATCCTTTCAAAAAACCAGTACATGTAACTGTAAGCTGTTAGTGTTTTAAATTTGGATCACCAAAGCATCGGATAATTAAATTCTTATCTCACATCACGTGAACACGACACTCCCATTCAATACAACAATGTGCACACTACCCAACACCTACTACCCACCCAAGTCACCACAGTCACATTTTCAGGCCTGGCTCGGTGCAACATCTGCGGGAAATGGGTAGATAGATACTACCTTCAGAGGCATACAAGCATAGTGCACCTAGGGAACCGGCCATATCAGTGCTCATACTGTTCTAAATCATTCGGACAGAGCGGTAACAGGAACGCTCATGAGAGGAACGTGCACGATGCGCCCCGCCAGACACAACCTGCTGTTGGGCGCGGGAATTTCATTGTGGTTCAGCTGCCGTCATCTAGCAACCTGCCAAAATAAACCTGCCGTCATCTGGTAACCTGCCGAAATAAACCTGCTGTCATCTGGTAACCTGCCAAAATAAACCTGCCGTCATCTGGCAACCTGTCAAAATAAACATGCCGTCGTCTAGCAACCCGCCAAAATAAACCTGCCGTCATCTAGCAACCTGCCAAAATAACCCTCTAGATCATTCCAATCCACATAGCCTCCTATGATAGGATTTCATCATTTATGCCAACCATTGGCGCCATCGCATTCATTGCATAGCAGCCGAATGAGTCTTGTATTTTAGAGGTCGCTTTTAGTTACACCCATATCCAATGGTGACCTGGTATACCACCGTTTTAATGGCCGTGATAGGAAAATAGTAATACCTTACCTGTGAAATATTTCATCATGTAGTTGAGTAGTATGTCCAGTCGCGGTCAGGTGTAATAATTTGACTTATTTTGTGTTTTGTAGCCTGTGTATTAGGAGACCTGAATATGCCAAGAATATGGTGCAATTTTAACCAAGGAGGTCAGAACTGTATGTTATTTTAGAGCTTAACTGTGTTATATTTTATCGTTTTGTTATCTTTCTGCTATCTGAAGTATTGTGTCGGTGCACTGTGATGTATTGTGTCGGTGCACTGTTATGTTAGTTTAAACTGCTATCTGAAGTATTGTGTCGGTGCACTGTGATGTTAGTTAAAGTATTGTGTCGGTGCACTGTGATGTTAGTTAAAAATGTTGTTTGCTAATTTTTGGAAAACCCTATGAATTACCTGAAACAGATTCACCTTAACTCATTTTGAAGAGCATTGCTATATATAATAGTATAAACTGAAATAAATACATACCATATACTAAAATACGCGTAGAAAATATGCGTCCCAGAAAATGACATAAAATGTTTTCAGAATATCATGGGTTTGCCATGTGTCAGATCTGCCACAAGTGGATATCAAAGTATCAGATGAAACGGCACCAAAACACGGTACATTTCAAGATGAAACCGTACCAGTGCCGGTTCTGTATCAAATACTTTGGCACTGCAGGGAACAGGACCTCGCATGAGCGGTCGGTCCATGGCCATGATTTCACGAGTAAACCTGGGTAAAATGACCACCAGATCAGGCTATTTGCTGTCAGGGAGCAGGGAGGCGATGATAAGCGAATGCCTCATTTCTGTCACTATATAATCTGAACGAAGCAGCCTAGCTCTCCGTTTTCAAGTCTGAAAGCTCATGATAAACTTTATTTTCGTGTATTATTCCGCTATTTCTCATTATAGGTATTTTGAGAATGTGAACTGTGGCTGTACAGACTGATTTTGGGACAGTTTTCCCTTCAAGTGTGAAGACGTTTTATTTTCATTTTTGAAACAAAATTATCTATAATAAATTTAAACTGGAAACGAATATTAAATATTTAACCCTACCTCGACATAGCATCTTCCTAATTTCCGTTCAAAATAGGGTATTTAATTGGGTCAGGGTTATTAATATGGTGAGGATAGTATGATGCTAAGATTTAAGGCCTTATAATGAGTTTAAAAATCGTCTTGAGATGTAATGTTAGGGGGTCAAATGTCGTTAACCTACATACTATAGTTTATTTGAACCAAGTGCACTGAAAGCTCGAATGGTGCAAGTGGATTGAATGAAAATTGAATGATTGGATTATTCTTACTTTTCATTTATTCACTCTATTTGATCAATTGGCTTTTATATCGAGGAATTAAGTTGCGTAAAAGATTTCTAACGATTAACAAAACGCTACAGATTTTTATTTATCTTATTTCATTTATATTCGTTAAGTAAGATATGTTGTTTTATTTCTCATAATCTCAATTTGATAAATAAAATACTACTGAAAAACAATTATCTTGAGATGAGCCAAGGTGCTAGAAAGGCAAATAAAAATGATCAAATTTAAGCCGATCTCTCAGTGTAGTTATTTCAGACTATCAGGAATGGTGCAAGCTGTGTGGAATCAAGCTGCGGAACCTAGACCGGCATCTCACACTCCGGCACTGGTGCGACATCTGCAACAAGTCCGTCTCCAAGCTGAAACGTCACTACAACGAGGTTCACCTCAAACAGAGACGTGTTCCCTTGAACTATAAGTGCAAGTACTGTGGGAGGTGCTTCAGTTCTAGAGCTAGTTTGGATCACCATCATAGAGCCCCATGTGCGGAGAGTGAGATGGCCTTGGAGTGAGAAATGTATGTTATATTTATAGATAAGGAATGGATATAATATATAAATTTTGCCTCCTGTCTGTTTGTCGAATTAGTGTAATATCCTGATTGATAGGAAAATTATGAGTCGAATAGTTGTGATGTTTAGTGTTCAAAATGTCTGATGATTCCGTAAATACGACCAAAGGGAATCTGTTCTTTTCAGGTGAAGGTAACTCTTGAACAGTTACTTTTACTTGAGAAGAACAATTTCTGTTGGTCGGTTTTATGGGATCACCAGAAATTTCTAACACGAAATGCTTGAGTTATGGTTAGAGCAAGGTTTGGGACTGAACAAGGGATAAGATTAGGTTTATTATTGTTTTGTTTTAAATAGCTAGTCGATCAGAATATGTATTCGCTTCTTTGGCTTCAGCCGTTTACGGCTTGGTTCTACTAAACTTTAAATGATGAACACCCCAAATGCTATGTGACAAGTTTTAACTACCATAAATCCATAATGTTAGATACCAGCAATATTTCTGTTAAAGTAAAAGGTAATACATATTACGTAATCAGTTTTACACATAGCTATTGTGTCGAAATTACACTAGCGTAATCATTTGGAAAACCCCCTCCCCCTCGGCTGATTACGTAATATGTGAACGACCCATTATTTCAGACACTGACACATCAGAATGGTGTAAACTGTGTGGTACCTTCTACAAGAACCTGCTCCGTCACGCCTCAACCCGCCACTGGTGTGAAGTATGCAACAAATCAGTCGCCAAGCTGAAGCGGCATCGGGACCAAGTTCACCTGAAGATAAGAGGACCTCGCCACCCTTGTCGGTACTGTGGGAGCTACTTTAGTTCAAAGACTTACAGAAACCACCACGAGAGACGGACTCATCAAGAGGAGGAACTAGGGGTCTCAGAACCCACTCAGGGAACATAATCACCAATTTTGATAAATACAGATTGATGATGATTAATAGTCGGGCTTCCGGACGTCCTGTGAAAAAACTTTTAGTTTTTATATTCTGATAATAATTTTTGGGATCTTCCATTGTTTATCTGACTGAGTGCAGGATTATATTTTTTAAGTTGCACAGATTCTAAAAAACTCATCACAGACACTTTGAAGTCAAAAGAAGTGGTATATCTTATCTATCGACTATGCTTACGTATATTTGTGATTCCATTTAATATTTTCTCCAAACTACCTCGGCATCAATACAGAATGTATCTTCTAGCAAAAATAACTTTATCCTAATATATCACTTATATTCATGTTTGAGTTCATAAATATTCTCCATACAATCACGGTATCAATACAATATAATAGCATTGTCTAGAGAATTACTTTAACCAGAAGGAGCACCGCGGCAATGGTGCGACCTCTGCTGCAACTGGTACGTCAACCTTATCCGACACAGAAACGCTCGGCACTGGTGCGAGCTCTGCTTCAAGTGGGTCCGCAAACTCCGCCGTCACCGGAACATGGTCCACCTCAAGCTGAGACCCCACCAGTGTAAACACTGTGGCAAGTTCTTCAGTACAGCTCAGCACAGGAATCATCATGAGCGGAAACAGCATGAGGATACCATCACCATGAATACCATGACCATGAATACCACCGGTATTACCAAGTGAACTTGGTCATGATTTGACGGGATAAGACAATTGGACACACCATTTTATGGACGATTTATCTTGTATAAGTTGATAGTAAAATTGAGTTTTTCCGGCACTTTTTACTTATGAATAGTGTTTTGAGGACATTCTAATATTATTAATAAAAACTCACATAGTTGCAATATTAACCTTATGTGTAACTATTATTCAATTACTATTTATCTAGTTAATAAGAAAATCGTCTTTCTTCTAATGCAGCAATGCCACTAATTCTCTAAATGATGATGATGATGATACTTAAATCATCTGCCACGGTGTTATTATTAATTGAGCAGATTCTGTGATAAAGTCTGGCAGAGTCTGTTACTGTAGCAACCCCTGTTTATAAAATCAAGGCATGGAAAGCGGGAGGTCATAGGGGAGGCTCGTCAGTCGTCACTGCGCTACATGCACGCTGACATTTGGCGTAAATGTAAAATATCACCGTTATTTTTACGACTCCTCTTTTGTTTCAGACCCTGGTAACCCTGGTAACCCTGGCCGCCAGTGGTGCAGATTTTGTTGTCACTGGTTTAAACAGGATTACATTTCCCTGCACGTGACTAGTCGACACTACTGCCCCTACTGTGACAGACTGTTCTGCCATCTTGCTAGACACAACTCCTCCAAACACCCCAACAAGTGAGGGGGTTTCTGGAGAGGTCTACTTAGGTAAAATCAAGAAGATGATTTGATTAGAAAATCGATTGTCACGCTTGATGAAGGACAACAGCGGTATGGTTCTGGAAATTAAATTGTATCTTGGTGAAATATAAATGAAGGGTGAATTGTAGTGCCATAATTGTGATGGCCATTGGCCAAGCGGTACCCTCTACAAGCGCTCTACCGGCATTGATATTTACTCGACCAAATGGAGAGCCCCCTGAAATTGAATAAAACTGATTCATAAAACTTTAGATTTGATGGCAATACCTAATTAGTTCGTGAAAGAGTTTCGATTCGACGATGGTGGCAGTTTTATTAGGAAAAATCTGAAAAGTTGACTTATTTATCTAGCGGACTCTTAACAAAAATCTTGACTTAATCATAACCGTATTTTAAATTTGAGCTGACTTTTTAAACTGAATCACTCTTTCCTGTTCAGACTTAATGTATAAAGTTTCCAATCGTTTAAAGTTCTTATCCTCTTTTCTTTAAATATGATCTATATTAATATACCCAGGCCAAGTCTTTTGAATTTTGAAAATGTTATATTAAATGCCCCACATGTCTGATGTCAAACTAAGTAATAAACTTACATTGCAGTTAACAATAATACACTAAATATTCTCAAGTGACAGCCCCGTTTTCAGAGTTGGTCGAGGTCTGTCCTATCTGCAAGAAAGAAGTCACCAAGTACAAGCTACAACGGCACCTTGACGCTGTCCACTTCAACATCAGACCTTATCCATGTGACACGTGTGATAAACGGTTCAGTTCCCTCAGCAAGCTGAAGAGGCACATTGGCAGTGTTCATCAGAAAATAAAAGCGTTCCCGTGTGGATACTGTGAGAAGAGCTTTGGAACGACTGGGAATAGGGCGAATCATGAGAAGAATGTGCATTTTAATAAGGACCCCGTGGGATTTATTTGGTCTTCCCAATACTGAAGAAATATTTTTGCCAGTTTAATCGGCTTTACGTGCTAGACGGATTCTTATTTTTGAAAACTCTGCTGTGAATTTGCAGTTCGAGTCCGTACCTGGTGTATTAATTATTATTAACTTTATGCATGCTAACAGCGTGACGTAGTAGTTTTTACAATGTATGATTTGTAAGGATTAATTTTGTACGGTGGTTAGCAATACCTATTATTATATAGTATTATCATCTCAATGTTCAACTAATTTAAATTTAAATTGAATTTGTAGCTTTTTTTCTTGGATAGGTTCGAGTGAGGACAGTATTTATAGGTAACTATTATATTCGTTACTTAGACTACCTATGCAATAAAGTATAAACTGGTACTAAAATTCACGACGCAATTGTCAAAACTGATTAAAGGATTAAAATAAACTAAAAATTGTGCTCTTATATAAACTGTCAAACAAACACAGAAGGAAGCAGATTTTGACGTGACGTATTTCGAAAAATCAGATGAAATAAAATGAAAAAATAAGAAGCATCCTGAAATGATAAATTATCGAATAATGATTTGATTAAATTTGCTCTAAGATCTCTTATTCGTCAACACGCAATATAATACAGTTTTTATACTAGGAACATACGAATAAGTCAGACATGTACACTGGACAATGTCAGTAAGGGGTCGTTGAGTCGTTCACATATTACGTAATCAGCCGAGGGGGAAGGGGGTTTCCAAACGATTACGCTAAGTGTAATTTTGACACAATAGCTATGTGTAAAACTGATTACGGAGGGGGGAGGGGGGTTAAAAATTGGCCAAAAAGTGATTAGGTCTAATATGTGAACGACCCCTAAGCAAATCTATTCTGAATCTTCTATTTGCTAACTGTCAACGAGAACAAAACAAATCCAAAAATTAATCACCATTCCATTTTACTACTTTTACTTCATCTTTCAGGGCTGGTGTTCAGCATGCGCCACAAAGACATTGCAGTTTTTGTCTCCAAAACATGTGACATCTGCAACAAATCCGTGTTGGACGTTAAACGACACAAGAATCTAGTCCACTTCAAGATTAAACCCCACCCCTGTAGGTTCTGTGAAAAGTACTTTGGTACCAGCTACAACAGGAACTCTCACGAAAGGAGTATCCATGGAGTGGTGTTCAAAAAGAAAAGTAACGCACCGGGCACTTTCCGTTTCTAGATAAGTGGTGTTCAAAAAGAAAAGTAACGCACCGGGCACTTTCCGTTTCTAGATGAGTGGTGTTCAAAAAGAAAAGTAACGCACCGGACAGTTTCCGTTTCTAGATGAGTGGTGTTCAAAAAGAAAAGTAACGCACCGGGCACTTTCTGTTTCTAGATAAGTGGTGTTCAAAAAGAAAAGTAACGCACCGGGCACCTTCCGTTTCTAGATAAGTGGTGTCAACAAGGACAACTACAAACTATAACTTTGATATTAGAACTAGAAGTGAAACTAATTATTACTGTGATTAAGAGAACTGATCATGTGATATTAAGTGTATTATTATTATTACAACTGAGAGTGAAATTGTTAATTACCACTGATGGTTTGCGTGTTTAAGTTGAACATGCAAATGATGATGGTTAGATTGCTCTAACCATCTCCCTCTCGCTTGCAGTAGCGCGCGACCGCCAAATGATGATGGTCAGAACTTAACCGGTTCATTCTTTAATTATATTTCCATGGCTCCGACCACCTTTAAGTGGCCACTCTGGCTGAGAGCTGTTATCTTACAGCTGTAGTAATAACACAGACAGAAAGTTTTATGAGAGCCATTTTACACTATCGTGACCTCGGTCACCGAGACTCGGTGCCATTTGTGAATAGTGTAACTATGAGTTGTGGAGTTGCATAACAAGTATAAGTTATGGAGTTCACCGATGCGCTTTGTTAAAGTTTGAATCTGATCTGGCGTTAATTTTTATTGGCTAAGGCTCCATTACCGAGAATGTATACTTATAGCCCCATAGGTAGCCACAGGTAGAACTCCTTGCCCCTTCCCTTTTGAATTACGTGTCAGAATTAAAGGATAGGTAAGAGTTTGAGATCTGGCAAGGGTTAGTAACCGTAGTAACCGTAACTCGGTTACCCCCGTAGTAACCGTAACTCGGTTATCCCCGTAGTAACCGTTACTCGGTTACCCCCGTAGTAACCGTAACTCGGTTATCCCCGTAGTAACCGTAACTCGGTTATCCCCGTAGTAACCGTTACTCGGTTACCCCCGTAGTAACCGTAACTCGGTTATCCCCGTAGTAACCGTTACTCGGTTACCCCCGTAGTAACCGTTACTAGGTTACCCCCGTAGTAACCGTTACTCGGTTACCCCCGTAGTAACCGTTACTCGGTTACCCCCGTAGTAACCGTTACTCGGTTACCCCCGTAGTAACCGTTACTCGGTTACCCCCGTAGTAACCGTTACTCGGTTACCCCCGTAGTAACCGTTACTCAGTTACCCCCGTAGTAACCGTTACTCGGTTACCCCCGTAGTAACCGTAACTCGGTTACCCTCGGAACGACGCTACTTTTAATTTAAATAAAGGATGCGAGACTAGAGACCACTGACCGCTGTTATTTCATTTCTTGAGTTTTAATGTTCCGGCCCGGTACAGATATATCACTTTTGGGTTAATTGTTAACATTCTATTTTTTATCACAAAACGTTTTACCTCAGACTCTAAATTTAAGATTAAAGTTCTAAACACCTCCAGAAATAAGTAACTTTTTCAGTTTGAACTATCCGATCTGCCGTTAAGGCTCCCATGAGCTGCCCCCTACGGGTAATTTTAGTAATTTGTCGTTGAAGACTTAAACCACACTGTTGATGCACGCCCGACAGACATATACGAATTGCCCTGTTAACGGTTGACGCACTGTTAACGCACACTGCACAGTATTCAATTTACACACGATTAATACGCTGAAACTTAGCACACGCTTATTAAACGCACTATTAACAATCCTTATCCCTTGTAAATTGCATAGTTGTTTTTTTGTTCAGATTCCATTGAAAATACTAGGAGTACAAAATAACACTAACAGTGTTCATCATATCTGTTAAAAAAATATAAATCGAAGAATCGGTCACCAGTAATTTGATATGACAAATCTCCTGCTCCTGATTGTGATATCTCAGGAGCTTACGTTAAACACTACTGCAATAAGTATAACGAAAACTTTAATAGGCAATGTCTGTAATGTAAAGTAATTTACTATTGAATCAAAAATATAAAACAGTTGTATGCAATGTGGTATTATCGACAAGATTACACTTCGTTACAGAGCGTTCAAACGCAAAGTACTTTCTTAAACTGATTTCGAGTTTCCAATATTACATCGTATATTCTACAATTTAAATAGTAATGTAAATAAGTATATGTAATTGATCTGGATCGTTCACGAAATATTAAAACTATAGTCCTTTTCTCACGTTCATCAGCAGCTGTTCTACCAATAGTTGTAATTCAGTCCAGCAATCTTCTCCGCTCCCCAGACCTCTCATCTCCATGCCCCCAGGAACAGTCATGATCGCAATTATAGACTGTGTAGGTGAAGTAAACATCACCTTTATCTCTAGCAATAGCTGCAGCTGGGAAGATAAAGCTATAAAACCACATGCTGCCAGCTACAAGATGAGCAGCTTTTCCGGAGAATTGGATTGCTCTCAGAGGATATTTGACGATGAGCATCTTGGATAAAGCTAGAGCAGCAAACAGCTGGCAGATTAGTAGGGCACTGCTACATCTTCCAAAGAAATTAAGATAGCATAGGAAGTCTCCAAGGATCCACTCATTTGCAGCCAAGGACACTGCGGCAGGTAAAATACTGGAAAATGTCAGCAGTAAATCTGCAGCTGCAATATAGCGGATGAAGATAACCGGAACACTGAACAGTGTGGAGCTTTTTGGCATTGAATCTCACAGATCCAACCAAGATGAGCGTGTCCCCAATTAGGAATGAAATGGATACGAATGATATATATCCAACGAGAAGCTGCCTTTCTGCTCTGTCGTGGATCCCATAAAAGGAGAAGTCATCATGCCTCATGGTGGAGCACTTCAGATGCACTTCAAAACCCGAGTCAAGACGAGAAATCTGGAAATGGTGGATAGGTTGTCTGTGAGTAGATCAGCTGAGTGGCCCAGTGGGTTATATTACATTTTTAGAAAAGGAACATGACTTTAATATTTTGATTTTTACTTGAAGGAAACGAATTACTTCCAGGACTTGAACTTATCGTATGTGAAGATGTAGTGAAGTAAAAATCCATATCACTCATCATTGCATAAAGCAGCGTGATGAGAACTTCACTGGCAAGTTTCCAGTTGACACTCTATGCTCTCTTTCTCTCTCTCTCTTTCTCTCTCTCTCTCTCTCTCTCTCTCTCTCTCTCTCTCTCTCTCTCTCTCTCTCTCTCTCTCTCTCTCTCTCTCTCTCTCTCTCTCTCTCTCTCTCTCTCTCTCTCTCTCTCTCTCTCTCTCTCTCTCTCTCGCCGTGCCCACAGAATGCAACTCCTGCTAGCTACACGCCAGGACTCCCAAAGTATATATATAATGATATAGTGGCATCTTTAGATCGTGTGGATAGCAAACAGGGACAGGATCATGAACTGGTAACCGTGTGCTTGCCGTCAAGTTCTATCGTACGTCAAGTTCAAGCGTACGTTAATTCTTCGTGCGTTTGTCGACCATCGTCTGTTGTGTTTTCCTGATGTGTCAACGTCGATTAAGTTTATTATGTCAACCGTATGTTACCTGTTAAGTGTTAAGTATCCATTGACAGACTACTAAATAACATCAACTTTATATAATTTCCAAAGTAGCCTCAGGTAATATACGTTACATGTGCGTGAGATATAGATTGCACTGTTTCTCTCTACAAAACTTCGAATAAGGTGGACCAAATTTCTGTTTAATTATTAGTAATGAACATTTAGAAAGTTTTAAATAGCAAAAGCAAAATAGAAACGGCCTGTAAAATCTCTAGTAATGTAGGTCGTAGGATGTGGCATGTATTTTATACTTTTATGTTTTTGACATGGCCAAGTCTTTATAAAATTACTTACTTGTGGCTGTTGAGAACTGATACCGAAAACAACAAAATCGAGAAAATGAACTAAACAACAATCAGCGACCACCTGACTAACCCCCCCTCCCCGCAGGTTTGCCGTACCGTATCCCTGCTACCAGCACGACCAGTCAGCTGACCGCTTACTCTCACGCCAAGTCCCTCTACTCAGCGGCAAGATGGTCCAAACTCCGCCTCTTCCTCCGCTCCAGCTACTTCAGTGCAGCTCACCAGCCTGACCTACAGAACCTATGGTATTGTTCACTTTATGAGGAGTACAAGACAGCGAGAGGCTTGAGAGACATGACCCCTGCTCAGAGATACAGGATACGGAGGAACAACCCGCTTCCTAAAACTCTATCCGCCACCAAGTTTACTGCTAATAACTATTTTGATGACGACACAAAGGCTATTCTTGACATGTTCTATGCCAAGTCAAAGTACCCTTTGGTGGATGACTGTGAGGTTATCATGGCCAGGACCGGCCTCAAGATGAACCAGATTAAGACATACTTTAAGAACAAGAGATCAAGAAGTAAAGCGACGGAGACCGAGCTGAATGTCAGTCAGGACGGAGAGATTGATATTATAACGCAGGGTGATGGTGGTGCTAGTAATGACATGGACGAGATGGAGTTTGGGCCATTTGATGCAGACAATATTGACTTTGAGATCAACCTCTCACAATTGTCTCAAACTATAAAAACCGAGCAAATTGACCATGCTGAGATGCATCAAGAGTGAAAACTGGACTCAACGAATCGCTGGGATAATAAATGTCAGAGACTGTAAACTCCTGATTGATGGCTGTATGTTATTTGTTGCCGAAGAAATTAAACTCAGCACTCATGGTCGTGGGATAAATCTGAGCTGTATTGTCGAGCTATGCTACAGAGATTTATTTATATTTTCGGGTTTCGTTGGACGATATGTAACTTATTGAACATTTTTTTTCTGTGATGAGTTTCTGAATAGGGATTAGGGATAATTATTTTAATTGTTCACCGCTGTGAGTTTCTATTTAAAAGAGTGATTATTTCTGCTGTTATTTTGTTTTTAAAAGTGAAGATGTTATCATCAATTTAAGAATATGGAATACTCTCGATTTATTTCATTTAAGTTACTGGCTATAGTTTACCAAATTTTCTTTCAAACTTGGAACTGATAATTAATTTCAGAGACAGTTTCGTTGACACTTCCCATGACGTTTAGCCCTCAAAACCTTTTTTATGGGCAGGGTAGTAAAATGTCTGCAACCTCAACCTCTGCCGTATTATTTTAATTCATTAAGAAATTTAATGGAGCGATCAAATTTAATTTTATCTGTTTTAGTTCTTAGTTTAATCGTTCAAATATTATTTTCTTTGCACGCAAAAGTTATTTTTAGACTTTAAAAATCGTATATTTATAACTCCAGAAGCTTTATACTCTTTTATTGTCTGCTCTGATTTTATCTGTTCCTTTCATTATACCTGTTATCTATGAAATATTATACTCTGTTTAACTTTAAGGTTACCTTAAAATATATGTCTGATTGCTTGGTTTTACGAATTAAAATAGAAAATAAGCCTGATATTTTGTTGCATATTATTTAAAAATAAATTAGTTTAAATGCTCAGGAAGATAAATTATTTTATCAAAAATAAGTTAAAGAATTTTAGCTAATATGTTGACTGAATAAAAATAATTTGGTAGCTATACATGTTGAATAACACAATACGTTATGGAAGGAATCGAACGAAGCCTAATACATAGTAGTAATAATTGCTAAATTATAAGCTCTCTTATTATTCAAGTAGGATTCAAGTTAAAATTAACAATTATTATTTTCTCAGGGGAGTCGAAGATGTGCGATTTGTGCTACAAATGGGTCTCCAAATCTCAACTCCAACGTCACAAGAATACCGTTCACTTTAAACTGAAACCTTACAAGTGCTTCTTCTGCGAAAAGTAAGTGCTAAGTTGATATTTTAAATTCTTGAGTAATCTCTACACCTTTTTGAGGCGGACATGACAATTTTAAACGATCGAAATCATGATTTCTCTTGGAGAATTTCTCTTTACACTCTTAACTTGCGAACAAATTGAAGCAGCAGACTTTAAGCTAGAAACTTTATTGAATAGAAAGTTGAATAGAAAGTTTCTAGCTTAAAGTCTGCTGCTTCAATTTGTTCGCAAGTTAAGAGTGTAAAGAGAAATTCTCCAAGAGAAATCAAGTTCAAATGCAACTCATAAATATAGCCCCCTTGAACTATTGATCGAAATTATTTTTCGACTCTTTTTGATGCCGTAATTAATAACTCTTATCTCAACAGGGCGTTTGGAACGAGCGGTCACCGACGTAATCACATGGTCAAGCTTCACACAGAGGCCTTCCGGGGAATTCCAGCAAAGAAAGCGTGGTACACGATCCCTTAGCAGCTGTGGGACAAGCTGCTCAACTTAGCAGCTGTGGGACAAGCTGCTCAACTAAGCAGCTGTGGGACAAGCTGCTCAACTTGGCAGCTGTGGGACAAGCTGCTCAACTTAGCAGCTGTGGGACAAGCTGCTCAAATTAGCAGCTGTGGGACAAGCTGCTCAACTTAGCAGCTGTGGGACAAGCTGCTCAACTTAGCAGCTGTGGGACAAGCTGCTCAACTAAGCAGCTGTGGGACAAGCTGCTCAACTTAGTAGCTGTGGGACAAGCTGCTCAACTTATAATATTTCACTTCTCTCACTAAGAAGAAAGTAGTGAGAGGGACCAGGTGCTCAGCCTGGTTACTGGTATCGTCTCTCATCGGGACACACATATGCTAGACTCCAGAGCAGAGACAATGCAATAGCAAGAACAGAAACTGACTGTTAATTTAATATTTTAAGTTAAGGTTAAACTTATAAGTTAACGTTTTCGGATCTGAGTAGAAATCGTTAGCGAGTATATTTTTTCTGTACAGTATTCTCCCTTTATAACGCGCCGTAAAATAAGAAAAGTAAACGGTATAGTTTTTATATCTAGTGCCAATTAGTACATATTACCTAAGTTTAAAATTTAAGGGTCGATTAGTATTCTGATAATTTATATTATTATTACAATATGCTTTGTTCGTAACTGGCCCTAATAAGAAATGTGTAATTATTTATTATTAAAATATTACAATATGCTTTGTTCGTAACTGGCCCTAATAAGAAATGTGTAATTATTTATTATTAAATTAGGGGGTGCACCATAAAAATAAACTTGCTCGGATTTTAAAATTTTTTGTACCATTGTTTTCTAGAGACTGTGAGAATTTTCACAATACTAAATTTGTCATAACTTTTTTGGAAAGATCAGTGAGTTTCGCCTAGATGCCATATTTGATGGTGCGCGGCTTTTGGAGCAAAATTAGCTGTAAAACTCGCGTAATTTGACCAAATTTGACCAAATTCGTTGATTTTTGTCGTATTATTTGGATATATCTTCAGTTCCTTGAATGAGATCATTCTGAAAATTGGCGAAGACCTTCCAATAGGGCTTTCACAACTGTCCGAAAAATTTGGTGGATATCGGAGTTGATATAGTGATCAAAATGGAGCAAAATACGCTGCTTTTAGCTGTAACATAATGTCTGATGGTTGGATATGCTTTAAACTTTTCGGACACTTTCCTTGTAAGTCTATGAGTAAGCTTACCAATTTTTGTTGCAATCGGAGGTCGGGAAGAACACTTAATATCTATTTGTTTGAAGAAAATTGTGCTGGCCGAAATTAGCGCTAAAAAACCATCCTACAGTCGGCACGCGCGGCTCACTGTCGATGGCGCACTACCTAATTAAATATTGCACTACTGAATTTAGAAAAAATAATCCATCATTATTTTATCATATCAACACGTTTATGAGATTTCGAAGCCTAGATCGTTATGCATCCTATGTTTTACTTTTAAATTTAAACTTGCAATTTGGTTACGATTTGCTGTATGCCTCGTAAAATGATATTTAAAGTTTGTAATTGTAATGCCGTACACCATGCCGAATTTTGGTTGCGTATACGTAATTACACCAACATTAACATATTTGTTTAAAAAGATTTCATTGCCGAAATTTTATAACATTCACATTTTCATTGATAGCACTTATATATTTGTTTTACTGGTACAAACCCAGTTCAGCAATGAGCAAGGTGGCACAAGCAGATAATTTAAGCATATTTTTTGCACAATTGTTTTCAACTTTCGCGACTACAATTCGTAAAAAAGTCTCTAATAACAACCTATTTTAATCAGTCTACCGTCTTGTTGAAATACTCACTGAAGCTGAACAAAGGCTGAAATTTAAATTGTACTATCACTATCAGTATATAGTAATCAATAAATGCTCTGAAGCGTATAAAATAAGCTCTATTAAAATTAAATTCCTCCAATTTCCTCAGGAACGACTCTACAACAAGACTATGCTCAAAACTTTTCTTCTAGTTCTAACCTCTACCCTTATCTCGCTCCCGTCGTCCCCCGTGGTCGAGCCAACATTACGCAACAATGCCCACGCTGTAGTAAAGTTTTGAGTGCCTGCCCTGGTACTCTTCAGCGGCACATCAGATCAGTACATTTGGGTCTGAAACCCTTCACTTGTACGTTCTGTGGAAGGCGGTTCAGTAGACGGGACAACATGTTGCAGCATCAGCATGGGACGATGTGTCGTGGTGTCAGGGGGAGTGAGGATCACGAACAACACCAAAGTGGTCAGGGAATTTAAATACCAATAAATGATAAAATGAATGTGTTTTGTTTAGTATATGAAAAACAAAAAAGGTTTTAATCATTTAAATCGAAATATCATTAAAATCTGTAAAATTTCTGTTCCTTTGTCTGTTGTCAAAAAGTATGAAGTAACAACAAGTGTTTTTATTCTGTAATGCTTTCTCGGTTTACTTTCTTTGTCCATGCAATAGTTAACAAGTCTGTTGATCTATGGCTTATTTTACCTAGCTTCTTAGTTTCTTGCTCGCTTCCTCACTTAGAAGCTTGAAAAAAAAAGCGACGGCCGCGCGGCACACTTTTGGTCGCTCTAACATCTAACCAGAGCCCTTGCGCTTGTAGTATCAAGTAAAGTGGCGCGCGCGCATGCACTTGATCCCGGCGTTTCTACTTGTGAAACATGCGCGCCTGCAGTGGCGCGAAAGCACATGGTCAGGTGAACATTAATTTGGCTTTGTGTTCACCTAACCAAACGCGCTTATTTTATGTTGCACTTGTTTCCCTTGCCGCCTTCGGCGGGCGCGCGCTATTACATAGTAAGCGCGAAGGCTCTGATTAGAAAAAGTTTCGTGAGTTGTGAGTAATTAATTGATGATGTCAATTCATCGCAGCTTGGCGAGGCACAGTAGCGCATTTCACCGATCTAGCGAGAAGCATAGTTGAGTGCGCGGCACATAACGCATCGCGCTACAAGTGAGTAAACACTCAGTAAGTAAACACATGCAACATATGCAATACGGCATGTTTGGAAATGTTGGTGCAATGCATGTCATTATCTTGTAGCCCGATGCACTATTGTGTACTGGGCCGCGCCGAGCTGCGAAGGTGGAAAGATTGACATCGTCAATTTACTCCCTCCATACTTGTAGCGCGATGCACTACTGGGTCGCGCGCGCATCAAATAATGCTTCTCGCAACCACAGTAGTGTGCAAACCAACATTCGAACCACCAGCAGCTGGTGGTCAATTTCCTACGAACGCGACTTAATTTTGGTTCAGACTGGAGTCGAGCGCTACGTTATAGCTGTAT